TTTCTATTACACATCTCTCTATCTATTTACCCGTACATACGAACCTCGACACAAAAGGAAGCATTGTGACAGAATCAGAATAACACATTTTCCTCTCCTTGTTTCAGAGAGAAGCCCCGGCGCCAGTGGCTCCCGAGGACCAGGTGTTGGTCCGAGAAAAACGCCAAGAGGAACCAGCAACAAATCCAGGTACAGGTCCTCGATGTCAGTCCTTTGGCTTGAGTCCAAATGTCAACTGGACATTGTTTTTTTTTCTCTCTCTTTTTCCCTACCTCTTTGTTTTCCTTCGGGTTGGTAGTGTGGTGAAAGAAGGCATAGTAATAGGCATTTTTTTTTTAAGCTAAACACGATGCACCAATAAGAGATTAAGATCAGTACGAATCGAACTTTCACTTCACTTTCTCAGGATTCGTTGTGAGAGTCATGGCAGGCTCAGGGAAAGCACAGGAAGTTGTTTTGTCAGAATGACTTTTAAAAAGAACCAGAAGTGAGATTATTATGCCTAACCATTCACTAACAGCTTATTCAGCATTTCTGCACCATGTTATGCTTGAATCTTTATTTCCTTATCATTAATTGGCCTCTTTTGTTGCATCTGCCGATATATGTAAATTATCATAAAGAGGAGAAAGATCTGCTAATCAGCTTATAATTAATCTTTTTCATATGAATTATTTTCATTAAGCTAATAAAGAAGTGATTTTTCGTTCATAAAAAACTATTATCCAAAGCTCTTATTTATTTGGCTTCTTATTATTTCAGGTTTATAGATGAGATGATTAAATGCTTAATGCATCGATTAAACTGTGAATCGTTGTTTCGTACACTATGTAAGACAAATTTCAGACTCGATAACGGTTACCATGAGAGATTCTATCCGAGAAAGAGTTTACACGAAGCAAACCAACATTCATTTTACAAAATACAAGAAAGATCGTTTCTGCACACGATAGCCTTCCTCTCCCGACTACAGCATTGATGCCTCTACACGTCTTGGGATTGTCCTTGCCTTTTTCCTTTCTTGTCTGGCCCAGGAATTCAGCTCTCGTAGCCAAGAGGGATTTTCATGACTTCGTCCTTTCAAGATTCTGATGGATGCCGCATGGGAGATATCTGTCTCTCTCTCTCTCTCTCTCTTTCTCCTACATTCTCCGAAGGTGGAAAATCTTATACATTAAACAAGCATGTGAAATTTTGCATTGAAAAAGTTCATTCATCTCTTCACTTCCACTTTTTTTCCTCTATCTGACACAAACCACGGAAAGACTGCCCATGAAAATGACAAAGGGAAAACAAGGGATTTTTGGAGTGGTTCCACTCCCTCTTGCGAGACTGTAATAAAGTAGAACCCGCTGTAGCAGATGAAGCCGCGGCCCCAGACGCTGCGGCGCCCCCTGACCCTGCGGCCCCTGCGGAACCCTTGGTCCCGGATGAAACTTTGGCCCCGGGGGAAGCGATTGACCCAGAAGAACCCGCGGTTCCAGATGAACCCACTGCCCCAGAGGAAACCGCGGTCCCAGCCGACCCCACTATCCCAGCCGACCCCACTGTCCCAGAGGAACCCCCGGTTCCCGGTGAACCCACTGCCCCTGAGGAACCCGCGGTTCCAGCCGATTCCACTTCCCCACTGGAACCCGAGGTTCCAGGTGAACCACCCATTGTCCCAGACGAATCCGTTGTCCCAGAGCAACCCGCGGCTCCAAGTGAGCCCACTGTCCCAGAGCAACCCGCGGTTCCAGAACCCCCGGCGGCCCCCGTCGAGCCCCCGGCGCCAGAGACGCCAGAAACCCCGGACGAGCCAGTAATTCCTGACACATCTTTGGTGCCAGATGAACCCGCCAGCCCGGAAGCCCAAGGGCCGCCCGAGGACCGCCAGCAACCCGAAGACCCGCCGCCCCCGGCGCCCGCCCTCCCGAAGACCCCGCCGCGCCCGAGCCAATAGCGCCAAGGAGCCCGCGGCGCCCGCACCCAAAGAGCCCCAGGAACCACAGGCGCCCGAAGAGCCCGAGCGGCCGACCCGCCCGCGGCCACCGACGCGCCCTCAGCGCCCGCCGCGGCCAGAGAGGCCCTCTCGCCCCCAGGGAGAGCAGACTGCCGAAGCAGGTACTGAGCCACGATTCGGGAGGAGGAAATCGAAAGAAAGTCGAGTTTTCGTTAAAACTGCGAAGTTTCTGTTCGCATTAAAAGCTGCACAAAATTGGAGTAAAATTAACTTAACTAACCACAGGACGCGCAGCTTTCAAATACTGTAAACTTACCAGTAAAAGATGTGGTCTGTGCACTGGGGATTTGCCTTTTCATTTTCATACACTCCAATGGAAACGCAGCTTTGACAAAACTTAAAAAGTTTGCAACAAAAACTCTTCTTTGGACAGTGTGTATGAAAGAGCCTTAACACAAACGCTAACCACAGCCAAGCCCTAGAGCACAGGAAGGGTTACTACTCGTTGCTCAACTGTTAACGCCAAGAACCCACTAACCTTCTGCATGCCTGTCCTCT